AAAAGCATAGTCTATTAATTCAGCAGTCTCTCGTGTAATCTCTGTGAATATGCCAATGTTACTAAGAAATTTGAGAGGAAAGTCGGTTGTGCACAAATTGTTGTTTCATTGAACAAAAACGATAATTGTGTTGTGTATTCGTACGTTCAAAATGGATTTCAAATATTTCACCTTATTGCTGATATTTTTCCATCATACAGGTAAATCGATATCATTTTCAACAAATTAATAAGATATATTTTCAACATATTAACAAGGTACATTTGAAAATTATTTGTAAAGCAATTTTGTTTTGCCAAAAAAATAATTAAGGCTTATTAATCATTTGTTTCGATTGACAATTATTAAAATGAAAATCGTTCTATCCACGAGATATAAACTGTATATAACAAAATTTCTATCCAAGATACACTGCATATAACAAAATTTTTAAATAATTAGTTTTTCCTTGCATTAGATGCTATTTATATGAGATTACACGCTCAGACATAACATAATTTCATCAATAAGAGAGAAATTTCTTCCCTGTAATAAAGATCAATGTCACAGTTCTTATTTAAATAGAGTAAATACGAATTTACTTTTAATTCAATTTTACGTTAGAAATTGATGATTATATTTTTATTTTAAAACCGGCGTTTTGATAGCGATGAGAGTTTATAATGTTGCAGTTTATGTGCTCTACTCTACTTCTTTTTTTTTTAAATCTATCAATTATTAACGCAATTTTACTTCTGATATTTAATTTTCTTAAACTGGTAGTAGTTTTAGAATATTTGTAATAATAATAAGCGATACGTATATTTATAATAAATTATATTTGCGTGCAACTAGTAACTAGAAGTAACAAGAAAATTATGATTTGATTGTAATTTACTTTTTATGTAAATAAGAGTTAATTGGCGCGTACACATGCGGCAATCACAATGCTTTTAATACAATGCACAAAGTAAATGTTATATAGGTAGTAGGGCCTCGTGTAATCTCGGGGCTATCTAGCTAGATTAACGTCGTGTACACCAGTTGTAGGCTCATCGCTGTCACGTTCGTTTCATCGAGTAATCGTAACTTCTGACAGTTCCAAATAGCATTTTTGCCATGAAGAATTTGTATGTAATTCTCACAATTATCGTAGGTAAGGAGACAATTAATTTAAAAAATGAAATTACTTTGCTGATATTTATTGAGAGAAGAACTTTTTCCTGCAATGTTTTTATATTTCAATATTTTATTACGTTTTACACATTCGTACATAATTAGATGCGTTTTTATATTATATTTTGCAATGTAGAATCTGATTATGATTTAAATTGCAAATATATATCACACATAGGAACAAAATACAAAAAAGATTGAAGAGTAATTAATGCGAACCTTTTACGAAATGATTCATTCTACTTTATTCTTTGTTGAAATAAATCTGTGATCCAAATCAAATGAAAAGAATTCCATATTTACATTAAAGAATTCACATTTACGAATTGTAAAGGGGCAAAATAGCTAAAGAAAAATGATCTTTTGACGATGATTTTTACGCCTCGTACAAACAAACAAAAGTGCCATCGTATAAAAATTCGTCGCATAAATTTTTGTTAATTTTGCGTTAATACCATTATATGTTTGAAATTTGTAAAAAAAAAAAACTTATCAACAATCGACGAAAAATTGATAAAAAACAGTCTAACGAGAATCCCTTCTTTAATAGCTTACGTTATGCCGGAAGCTTACGTTATGCTCATTAAAATTCATTTGAATTCTTCATCAACCGTATGTAAAAGCGCCAATTTAAAATTAGCGACATTCCTTTGAGGGTCGATTGAGTGTCCATTTAGGGCGTACGAAACCATCGTTCAAGTTTCCTCAGAATTTCGGTGCTACTTTTTCCCATAAGATTTCTCATTAAGAAACATACTTCTGCAACGTTATGGTAATGAGATTAATTGTTCCCCTTTATAAATATACACGTGTGTCTACTTATGTACATATATATCTGAAAAAAACAAAATATTGTGTTTTCAATCTTGAAAATTTTTATTATATATATATATATATATATAATTGACGATGGCAATAAGTAAAATTTATAACGTATTATAATATTTGCATATTTGCTATATGTACCTTGTACGTAAAATTAAGTATCTTCATCGTGAATGCTTCATCTTCATTTAAACATGCAATTTTGTTTTCATTTTGTTTACAGAATATAATTTACAGTTGCATTGATATAATTTATTTATTTACTATTTGCAAAGTTATTATCTTTCTGTGATTTTTCTATTTATTTTAAGATAACACGGATACAGTTCATTATTCTTTTATTAATCACCATTTCTGTGATTTTTCGTTAGATTTCTGCTTTGATGAAATTTCTTGTGGCAAACAATTGTTTTGTAAAATATCTTTCATCTTGTACGACTAATAATTTCCCACACGAACATTGGTTCCTATTTTTTAATTTGATATTAAAATCACGCGCTTGTTGAAAATTTCTGTTAAAATAATTTGATATATTTGCATGTTTATTTAACAGTAACATATACATCTTTCAATCAGACAAGGCATTTGTCGTTTCATGTTTCTCATTTTTTATGAAATACAAGTTTGTGTTTTCGTGTCAGTTGGTGTAACGTTCTCATAATGATAGTTGTAATGCGCTTACTACCCTGTACTTCGTACAGTTCGATGTACAGTAGGATGTGGTACGTTAATAATTCGCTTCATGTACTCAATCATTGGTTTCCGGACTTTCATTTATATATCGATGAAATTCTAAAATTGTAATCACACGTGCGGC